AGGCTACTTTCCATTATTTGCCCTTACTATGTTAAACTATACAGCCTTGTACACAGATCTCTTTTTAACTGTGTTAATGGACCTGTAGGAGAGTTTCTATAAATAGTATTTAGAAGATATCTATTCAGGAATTATATAGCCCACTAATGTCCAATTAGAAAATGTAAGTAAAAATGAAGTCATTCACACAACAGCAGCAAAAACTAATATACGTAGGAATATAGGGATCCCTGGGTGGCGCAGCGGTTTGGCGCCTGCCTTTGGCCCAGGGCGCGATCCTGGAGACCCGGGATCGAATCCCACGTCGGGCTCCCGGTGCATGGAGCCCGCTTCTCCCTCTGCCTGTGTCTCTGCCTCTCTCTTTCTCTCTGTGTGACTATCATAAATAAAAATAAAATTAAAATAAAATAAAATAAAATAAAAAATTACAAGCTGCATATGAACAACAAAATTTAATTTGAATGTTTGTATCAATGATATACTTCATATAGCTTAATATGATCAATTAAATTAACTGAAGAACATAAAAGAGTAAGCTGAATGAAAGAAATTACATAAAATGTTTGGGGTTGGGAGGACTAAAAATAAAATTATAATTTATACAAACAATGATTCATTACTTTCCAATTGAAATCCCAATAGCATATCTTTTTTATAGAACTTGACAAGTTGTCTCTGACACATCTCAAAAAAGAACACCTGAGAAAAAAATATTTTAAGAATAGGAAAAGACTATTACAATGAAAATGGTGTGCTGTTGGTTCAGAAATAGGCAAGATTAATAACAGATTAGAGACCAGAAATAGATTCTCCCATGTAGGAGTTTAATATATGATGAAGGTAAAGTTTCAAATAAGTAGAAAGAGGGATCTATTCAATAATTTATGTAAGGACAATTACCCAGTTAGAGAAAAATATATAGTTAGACTCCTTACTTCATATCCCAAAAAAGTAAATTCTAAATGGATTATATTACAACTTATACACATAAAAATGATAAATGTATTAGAAACAATTAGGGTAATTTATCTATAACCTTGGGATAGGGAAGATTTTCTTAAACAATATGTAAAACATAAAAATTATAACAGAAAAGGTAGATAATTTAACCATATCCAAATGTAAAATTTCTGAATAAAAGATACCATGCTCTATCAAAATTCTGAGAGACTTTCTTGCCAATCCTCAAATTCATACAGAATTGCAAGATGTCCTGAATAGTCAAAACTATCTTGAGAAAGGACAAAGTTGGAAGGCTTCACACTTCAAAACATACTACAGGGACACCTGGGTGGCTCAGTGGTTTGGCGCCTGCCTTCGGCCCAGGGCGTAATCCTGGAGACACAGGATCGAGTCCCACCTCAGGCTCCCTCCATGGAGTGTGCTTCTTTCTCTCTGCCTGTGTCTCTGCCTCTCTTTCTGTATCTCTCATGAATAAATAAAATCTTTAAAAAAAAAAAACATACTACAAAGCTACAATAGAACAGTGTGGTACTGGCAAAGGGTAGGCATATAGACCACTAGAATAGATTTGAGATCCAGAAATAAACCCATATATCTATGTCCAATTGATTTATTTTTATTTATTTATTTATTTATTTGAAAGAGAGAAAGAGCACAAGCAGGGAGAAGGGGCAGAGGGAGAGGGAAAAGTAGGCTCCCCACTAAGCAGGGAGCCTGACATGGGGCTCGATTCCAGAACCCTAGAATCATGACCTGAGCTGAAAGCAGATGCTTAACTGACTGAGTACCCCAAGGCCAATTCATTTTTGAGAAGGAAGTTCATTCAATGGGGAAAGAATTGTTTATTGACAAATGGTGCTGGAACAACTGGATTTCCATATGCAAAAGAGTAAACTTGGACCCTTACCTCACACCATGTATAAAAAGCTAATTCAAAGTGGATCAAAGACCTAAACTTGAGAGCTAAAACTACAAAACTTTTTGAAGAAGCATTGGGAAAAATATTCCTGACTCTGATTTCATGGATATGATGCCAAAAGCACAAGCAAAAAAGGAAAAACATCGATTGAACTTCATCATAATTAAGAATTTTTGTGCATCAAAAGAGATTATCAAGAAAATGAGAAAACAGGGATCCCCGGGTGGCGCAGCGGTTTGGCGCCTGCCTTTGGCCCAGGGCGTGATCCTGGAGACCCGGGATCGAATCCCACGTCGGGCTCCCGGTGCATGGAGCCTGCTTCTCCCTCTGCCTGTGTCTCTGCCTCTCTCTCTCTCTGTGTGTGACTATCGTAAATAAATAAATTTAAAAAATTAAAAAAAAATATTTCTTTAAAAAAAGAAAATGAGAAAACAGGGATGCCTGGGTGGCTTAGTGGTTTAGCGCCTGCCTTTAGCCCAGGTCGTGATCCTGGAGTCCCTGGATCGAGTCCCATATCGGGCTCCCTGCATGAAGCCTGCTTCTCCCCCTGTCTGTGTCTCTGCCTCTCTCTGTGTGTCTCTCACGAATAAATAAAAAGAGGGATCCCTGGGTGGCGCAGCGGTTTAGCGCCTGCCTTTGGCCCAGGGCGCGATCCTGGAGACCCGGGATCGAATCCCACATCAGGCTCCTGGTGCATGGAGCCTGCTTCTCCCTCTGCCTATGTCTCTGCCTCTCTCTCTCTCTCTCTCTCTCTCTCTCTCTCTCTCTCTGACTATCATAAATAAATAAAAAATTTTAAAAAAAGAATAAATAAAAAGAAAGAAAGGAAGAAAAGAAAAGAAAAAAGAAAAGAAAATGAGAAGACAGGGCAGCCCCAGTGGCGCAGCGGTTTAGCGCCGCCTGCAGCCGGGGGTGTGTGTGATCCTAGATACCCTGGGCCAGGTCCCACGTCGTCGGGCTCCCTGCATGGAGCCTGCTTCTCCCTCTGCCTGTGTCTCTGCCTCTCTCTTTCTCAATGTGTGTGTCTCTCATGAATAAATAAATAAAATCTTTTAAAAAAATGAGAAGACAACTTACAGAATAGGAGAAAATATTTGTAAATATTTATCTGATAAGGGTTTAGTATCCAGAATACATAAACAATAACAAAAACAACCCATTACAAAAATGAGCAAAGGATTTGAATAGACATTTCTCCAAAGAAGATAAACAAAGGCCAATAAGCATATGAAAAGATGCCTAATTACTCATTAGGGAAATGCCAATCAAAATCATAATGAGATAGCACTATACACCTACTAGGATGGCTATAATAAAATTCTAAAAAATAAATGGAAAATAACAAACATTGGCAAGAATGTGGAGAAACTGGAACCTTCCTGCTTTGGTGCAGCTGCTGTGGAAAACAGTTTTACAGTTTCTCAAAATATTAAACATAAGGGGTGCCTGGGTGGCACAGTCCGTTGAGCATCCAACTCTTGGTTTCAGCTCAGGTTGTGATATCAGGGTCATGGGATTGAGCCCTGCGTCAGGCTCCAGGTTTTGCTTAAGACTCTCCCTCTGCTCTTCCCTTGTTCTCTCTCTCTCTCCCTCTCTCTCTCTCTCAAATTAATTAATTAATTAAAAAAAAACCTACCATCTGACCCAGCAATTCCACTCCTAGGTATATATCCACAAGAACTGGAACCAAGGACTTGCTTACATACCTATGTATACATAGTAACATTATTCACAATAGTCAAAAGGTAGAAACAACTCAAGTTGAATGGATAAACAAAATGTGGTATTTACATACTAGGAAATATTATTCAGCCATAAAAAGGAATGAAGTTCTGATATGTACTGCAACACGAACCTTGGAAATGTAGACTGTGAAATAAGCTATACAAACAAGGACAAATATTATATGATTCTACTTACATGAAATAGAAAAAGGCAAATTCATGGAGACAGAAAGATTAAAGGTTGATTACCAGGGGCTGCGGAGATGGAAGAATGGGGAATTACTGCTTAATGTTTGCAGAATTTCTGTTTGAGATGATGAAACAGTTTTGGAAATAGTAGTGATGGTTGCATAACACTATGAATGTCGTTATACCACTGAACAGCACACAACGGTTAAAATAGGGGCAGGGCAGCCCCGGTGGCGCAGCGGTTTAACGCCGCCTGCAGCCCGGGGTGTGATCCTGCAGATCCAGGATCGAGTCCCACGTCGGGCTTCCTGCATGAAGCCTGCTTCTCCCTCTGCCTGTGTCTCTGCCTCTCTCCTTGCTCTCTCTGAATGAATAAATGGATGAATCTTTAAAAAATAAAAAAATAAAATAAAATAAAAAATAAAATAAAATAAATAAAATTGAAATAAAATAAAATAATAGGGGCACCTGGTGGCTCAGTCAGTAGAGCATCTGGCTCTTGATTTCAGCTCAGGCCATGATCTCAGGGTCGTGAGTTCAAGCCCCACATGGAGCCCCATGTCAGGCTCCGCACTCAGCACAGAGTTTGCTTGAGATTCTATCCCTCTGCCCCTCCCCTCTGCTTTCTCTCAAATAAATAAAATCTTTAAAAAAATGTATATATAAAATTTTAAAAATAAAAATGGTAAAAAAATAAAAAATGGTTAAAATAATATTTTTGTATATATATTTTATCACAATAAACAAACTCTAAAAATAAACTAAAATAAAAATAAAGGACACAAAGCAAAAAGATAAGCAATAGATGAGGAGAAAATACTTGCAACATGTATATCAAATTAGTAAAATCTAGAAGATATAAAAAAAATTCCAGGAGTGCCTGGGTGGCTCCGTCAGTTAAGTGTCTGCCTTCAAGTGTCTGCCTTCAGCTTAGGTCATGATCCTGGGGTCCTGGGATCAGCCCCGATTTTCCGCTGTCTGCTCAGTGGGGAACCTGCTTCTCCCTCTCCCCCTCTGTCTGCTGCTCCCCCTGCTTGTGCGCTCTTTGTCAAATAAATAAATAAAATCTTTTTTAAAAAATAAAATAAATGAAAATAAATAAAAATTCCACAAGTCAACTAAGGGACAGAAAACTCAATATAAAAGTGAAACGGACAATGACTCTTTATTTATTTATTCATTCATTAGAGACACAGAGAGAGAGAGAGAGAGAGAGAGGGAGGCAGAGACACAAGCAGAGGGAGAAGCAGGCTCCATACCGGGACCCTGATGCAGGACTTGATCCCGGGACTCCAAGATCAGGCCATGGGCCCAAGGCAGGCGCCAAACCGCTGAGCCACCCAGGGATCCTGAAACAGACAATGACTCTTATCAAAAACAAATGGTCCACAAAAACTAAAACTATACATAACAGGGGAACTATAAGTTAAAGTATGAAGGAAATGTCATTTTTCACTCATCACATTGGCAAAAATTAAGAAATTAGGGGCACTTGGGTGGCTCAGTCAGTTAAGCGTCACACGCTTGGTTTGGGCTCTGGTCATGATCTCACGGTCTCAAAATCAAGCCTCAAGGTGGGCTCTGTGCACAGCAGGGAGTCTGCTTGAAAATTCTCTCCATCTGCTCCTCCCCCAACTCATGCTCTCTCTCTCTCTCTCAAAGAGAGAAATAAGCCTTTATAAAGAAAGAGATTAATATTCAGAGTTGGTGAAGGTATGGGACAATGGAGCCATCATTCCTCTGGTGGGAGTGCAGATAGGTCTAACCTCTTGGGAGAGCACCTGGGCCACATAATACACACACACCCACAGACCCTTGGACACAGCTATTGTACTCCAATGTAGGATAGGCTGAATGGCTACATATGTCATGGCACATCCACAAGATGGAATTCAATGCAATCCAAAGGAGGAGCCAGATAGGTATTTCCTAACATTGAAAATATATGTCTGAAAGACTTCATAATGCTTCTTATAATCCAACAGATTTATTTTTTGTTTCTACTGTTTGTTTTGTTCCTAAGTGAGAGAAAAAGTTCAGACTGCAGTTTGCAAGCAGTTTTCACAAATGACACCTGTGGGAATGGGTTGGCTTTATTCTTGGTACATGGAAAGCCAAATGGAATATGATCATCACACCTTTTTTTAATTTTTTCTAGATGTAACTTTGCAATCGTAATGACATCTGGATGTACTGTGTATGAATTTTGATTGGATAAATGCAAGAATTTGTTAATCATCTTGAGGCAAAATTACAGCTGTGTTTTTTTTAATATTTTATTTTTAAGTAATCTCTATACCCAAGTTGAGTTTCAAACTCACAACCGTGAGGTCAAGAGTGGCATGTTCCACAACTGAGACATCAGGCACCCTTATGGTTTATTTTTATGTTTCTCTTTATTATTTTTTTAAAGATTTTATTCTTTCATTCATGAGAGAGACATAGGCAGAGGGAGAAGCAAGCTCCCTGCGGGGAGCACGATGTGGGACTCCATCCCAGGATCCTGGGATCATGACCTGAGCCAAAGGCAGACGCTCAACCACCCAGCTACCCAGGCGTCCCTTTATGCTTCTCTTTAAATAATTGTTTATGTCTATAACCAATGGCTTACCAAAGATTATAAATTAGAAAATAAAAAGAACTAAAAATGAGGAGCACCTGGCTGGCTCAGTCAGGGGAGCATGAGACTCTTCTTTTTTTTTTTTTTTAAGATTTTTATTTATTTATTCATGAGAGACAGAGAGAGAAAGGCAGAGACACAGGCAGAGGGAGAAGCAGGCTCCATGAAGGGAGCCCAACGTGGGACTCAATCCCAGGTCTCCAGGATCAGGCCCTGGGCCGAAGGTGGCGCTAAACTGCTGAGCCACCCGGGCTGCCTGAGACTCTTCTTTTCTAAAAGGTCACATGAAAATGAAGGAGAGAAACACAAACTTCTTTGGCAGATGAGATACGGCAGAAGTAGGGTGGCAGGAAGTGGCAAGAGGGTCCTTCATAAGGAAGTTAAATCCTCAAGATGTTGAAGTATGTTTGGCTTCAGATGGGTTCAAGAAAAAAACCAGGCACAGCCCTAGAGGAAGCTTCCTCCCACGGTACTCACCTTCCTTCCCAGTGAAGGCAGGTGGCTATGAAATTCCCAAGGCATTTGAAGGGACTAGGGACGGAGGGGGTAGAGATACCAATTGGAAAGGCTTCAAGGGAAGGGACCATAGGAGAAGGAGAAGGAGGAGACAGTTGGGAAGACAGTGGAGTCTCCTCTACGGCCTCATTGAGGGGCCGCCCTTTATTGAAGGGCCAGGGACAAGGGACAGAGTAATTCAGGCCCAGTTTTTACCTGCACCTCCCTCCATTCCTCCCAACTTTCTAAGATTTTAGGATGCTGACCCATGTGAAATGCAGCTGATTCAGTGTGATGCAGTTTTGAGGAGATATCTGATCCAGGTGAGGAGTGTCCCCACCCATCTTCTTGTCAGAGGTATTCAGAGCCTAGTTCTTAACTTGAACACAGCAGTGAGGAGTGGTTTCAAAACCGAAACCAAAACCAGAAGCAGATGTCCCAGAAGCAGGAGAAATTCTTGAGCTGGAGGGGTTTTTTTTTTGGGGGGGGGATCATCAGCATATGGATGGAAATGAATGGGGTCATCCAAAGAGTATGCAATGAAGAGGGGGCTTGTTGCAGCATCTAGAGAACTGTATTTCAGGGTGTCCTAACCCAATCAGCCGAAGACCACCAGAGACAAACCCATAGTCCAACGAAGTCAGGTTTATTGACCCATGCTATGAGGAAGACAATACACCAGAGGAACCACAGGGTGTCCCACCAAACACAAAAGAGAGAGTCATCATAGGATTTGGGAGAGACATAGCAGTAAGTGAAATTTCAATGAAGCAATATTCTGATGGCTCAAAGCAAGAGAGAGCTATGTGTAAAGGGGCCAACACCCACTGCTACGTGGAGGCAGGGGCCTGTCTCCTTAGAAACAATAGTTTAAAAAGATGTGATTTCGGGGGATCCCTGGGGGATCTCTCTCTCTCTCTATATATATATATTATGAATAAATAAATAAAATCTTTAAAAAAAAAAGATGTGATATCTTATGTTCAGAAATCCCTTATCTGAATCTCTGCATCTGGGTTGTAAATCTTGTCCATTTAGTGAGTTAGATACTCCAGGCAGAAGTTTCATTCTTACTTACAGAATTTCAAACAGCAAAATTCCTGATAGTCTATGATTTTTTACTTTTTTAAAAAGATTTTATTTATTTATTCATGAGAATACACAGAGAGAAGAGAGAGAGGCAGAGACATAGGCAGAGGAAGAAGCAGGCTCCATGCAGGGAGCCTAATGTGGGACTGGATCCCAGGTCTCCAGGATCAGGCCCTGGGCTGAAGGTGGCGCTAAACCACTGAGCCACTTGGGCGGCCCAGTCTATGATTTTAGAAAACAAAGTTGCTCAGTGGGTAAGAAAGAGGTAGTTACCCAAAGGAGGGGATTGTTATCACATTTTATAGCTGCAGTATGTCCTTGGGAAAAATAGTACCTCCTGTTAATTTTGCAGCTGACTTATCTCTGTCTGTTATTCTGGCCTGTTAAATAGCAGGGTAGACTTTTACAGTCCCAACTAATGTTTAGGTTTCCAAGGCACAAACAATGGAAGAGGAATCTGAATGAGTAGGCAGCAAGAAAATCTAAATTGTAAGTTTCATAAAGCAGGAGGGTGATTATTGTATTGGTGTTGAATGCTGCTAAAAGGTCTGCTACTATCCAATACAGTAACAACCAGGTGATTTAAATTTTAATTCAAAGTGATAACTGCAGGACTGCCTTTCTGGCTAAGTCTGTAGAGCATCCGGCTCTTGATCGCAGAGCTTGAGTTTGAGTTCCACTTAGTTATAGAGATTACTTAAAAAAAAAAAAAAAAAAAAAAAAAAAGGTGGGAGAGCCTGGCTGGCTCAGTGGGTGGGGCATGCAACTCTTGATCTCAGGGTGTGAATTGAGCCCCATATTCATTGTAGAAATTACTTAAGAATAGAATCTTTTAAAACTGTATTTAGGGGCAGCCTGGGTGGCTCAGCGGTTTAGCGCCGCCTGCAGCCCAGGGTGTGATCCTAGAGACCCTGGGTCGGGTCCCGTCGGGCACCCTGCATGGAGCCTGCTTCTCCCTCTGCCTGTGTCTCTGCCTCTCTCTTTCTCTCTCTCTCTGTGTCTCTCATGAATAAATAAATAAAATCTTTAAAAAAAATAAAGCTGTATTTAGTTAATTGTTTGGAGGGGGGGGAGCAGGGGAATAGGAAGAGAGAATTTTAAGCAGGCTCCCACTGAGCAGGAGGCAGGCTCTTACTACTTTGAGATCATGACCTGAGCCAAAAAATCAAGAGTCCCAGGCTCAACCCACTGAGCCACTCAGGCGCCCCGAAAAGTAATTTTTAAAAAAAGTAATTATATTAAACTGAAATTATTTTTAAATTAATTAAATAAAAATTGTTATTCCTCCATGGCACTTAGTCACATGCCAAGTGTTTGCGCTAGTTTGTGGCTACCATAGTCACCGGGCAGATACGGAGCATTCCCATCATCACAGAAAGTTCACTGACCAGCAGTGAGAGAAGTGGGAGTCCCCGACGGGGGTGACCCCTAAGTGCAGTCTTCCAGGAGTGATGGGATTGGAAGCCCTAAGCGAGGTGCAGACAGTAGTGAGTAGTAGTCTTTCTAAAACCCAATCCTAAGCACTATTCTCCTATAACGGCTACTGTGTAACTCACGCGTGCCTGGAGCCCACAAGCCTCCGACCACTGGGCTCTCCTGCTTCACCGCATCTCCCTGCTCCCGCAAACCCTGGTCGCCAAACTCCATCCCCCAGCATGCCCCGAGCTGTCTTCAGCGACTCTGGCTCTTTTGGCTTCTGGGAAATGTAGTTTTTAAAGTGTTCCAACTCCAGAAGGGTTCTAGGCTTAAACTACGACTCCCATAAGGCAGCGCGCGGGTCTCGGCGGTCCACTGTACCGTGTCCGCCATGTCTGCCGTGACAGATATCAGAGCTGACTACCGAGGTTTAGCGGAGCGGAGGGGGGGCTGAGATGCTGGAGTCCCCAGAAAAGAAGGATAGCAGCCGCGCGGGGCCTCTTCCTGCCACTTCTCAAATCGCCGCCGCTCTGCGGCTGCGGGGTTGCCTCACCCAGAGTGGGACGCATCGGGGCGCCAGGGAGCCCTTGTGACCGGACTGCCACAACCGCTATGGAGGCGCGTCCTACTGAGAGCAGCCTAGGCCATTGGACGGCCCCTGGCGGCAGGCGCACGCGCAAAGGCTGGCCCTCGCGGCCCCTGTAAACACCGAAGAGCGCCTGCGCTAACGTAGCGTCTCGGGATCAACACGTGGGGGCGCCTCGGCGAAGAGAACAGTGAAATAAGGGGTAGCCTAAAGGTTTTGCGTTCTTTCTGTTGTCCTTTTTATTATGGTTTATCAAGCACAGACCCCGTCATCACCTCCCTTATTTTGATCCTCGTAGCAGGGTGGTGGGTTTTGTGGGTGTTTTGGTGTAATGACATTCTACTAATTTCACTGCAGGGTTTTTACAAATGGGACAACAGGTCAGAGAAAGTCACACAGCCAGAGTCCTAGCATAATAGAGTGTGACAGGTGAGGGGGGTAGTGTTAAGGGGCTAGACCCTGGATGGGGAGGAGTGGGAGGACCTGGGGCTTCGTTTCAGAGCCTTGCAGGAATTGGACATTTGGGTGACCAGCTGGGGCCAGTGGCAGCTGGACTGGCTGGATGATGAGGAGAGGGAGTGATGCTCACTGAGCTGAGGCTGTAGGAGCCACTGTCCCTGCCAGGTGGAGCGGCCAAGTGGTACCCCAGGCATAGCATCCCACCCACCAGCATCAGGCAGCTGCCCACACAGAGAAGTGAACGTTTCTCTGTCCCTTGTAGGGGTGGAGCTGGGCTCTTCCCAGCTGTTTCTCTCTGCAGTGCTTGCTCTTAGAGGTTCTGGGAATAGGTGCATGGAGGACCTGGGAAACTCAGTTCTAGTTGCAGACGGAGCCTTCTCAGGTGAGTCATGAAAGGCAAATGTTTGTAGAACTAGACATCCAAGATTCTTCTCACTTTCAAGGATCTAGTTCTCTGGGAGAGAACTTACTTTAACACTTACCTGTTTTCAGCAGGGGCAACAGGCTAAAGGAGAAAAGGACTCTGTTAAGGACACACAAGGAGTTGACATAGAACTGAACTAGGATAGGGATCTTTCCATTACACTACAGTGAGCAAACGTCTTCATCAAACATTTATTGAGTGTCTAATGTATACTCTGAGAACAACTACCTTGGGGTAGCAAACAGAAGCCAGGATTGCAGTCAGACCTGGCTTTTAATCAGTATTCAACGTGACTGTTACCCTGGGTGAGTCATAACCTCTGAGCCTCAAGTTGTCTGTAAAGTGGCAGTAGTAAGACTTATCCAGGGTGTAACTATGAATTAAATGAGCTATAAGCTGTTTAGCATATAGAACACCACCAGGCACATGGCACACGCTCAGTAAACATTAGCCACTGTTGTTACTCATAAGTGCAGGTTGAGAGCCAGGCAGGAGGAGAGAAGCTGCAGCCCCGGGTCTGCTCATCTCCAAGATACTTCCCCTCCATGCCCTGGGAGCCTGTGGTTCTGGAGGGGGTCAGGGGACGATGGGGACCCACATCCCCATTTCCTCCTCTGGCACTGAGAACCTGGCCATGAACAAGAGCCTCAAAGAGTGTTTACACCTCCACATACAACATGATTCCCTTCCCTACAACCCGGGATCCAGAGTTAAGGTGATTCTTGCTCAAAGCTACACATTACATACAGCCCTGGACAGTCAGACCAGAACCAAACCCCACAGTCTTAACTCCTTCAGAGTTTGGGGTCTTGCACAACCTTTCCTCCCTGACTGGCAGGGGCTTGACCTGTGTTTCCCTTGATCAAAGCAAGAACTGGAGGGCTAGGAGGGGCCTGGGCAGGCCTGACAGGTACCCTGCCCCCAGCCCAGCCTGTTAGATGATAGAGGCCTGATCCAGTGGTCATTTCAACTCTGGCCCAAGGCTCCACAGTGGAGGTCTCCTTCAAACCCCTTATTTAAAGAGGAGGAAAGAAAAACCCAGAGAGGCCAAGAACTCACCAAAAGCCCCACAGTAAGGTAGGAGTGAGTCTGGACCAGAACTCAGGTCTCCTGATATTATTAGATCAGGGTTCTGGCTGGCAATCAATTTGGAGCCGGTAGAGCTTGGCTCCATCTCTCCCTCCCAATGCCCCCTCAGCCCTGCTGGACCAGCCCCAACACTGCCACCTGGGTGGGCTCTGGTTGGGGAGTGCCAGGGTGGAGGTGGGTGCCTGGAGAGGGAAGGGGAGGCAGAGTAGAGGACCTGGTCAGAGACAAGCCCAGGGCTGACCTGGGGCAGGTGTGCCGGGGAAGCTCTTCTTGGTGTGGTGGCTGCTGCAGTATTCTAGGGCCGTTTTCATCAGTCTGAGGCAGCAGAGGATAAAAATACCGTGGGAGCACACTCCTGGAGGAGGGGAGCAAAGCAGATTCAGGAATGAGTCACAGAACCCAGCCCTAAATTTAGAAGGTGCTGAAGGAGGCAACCTCCCCCAGGGGAGCACCGTGGAGATGCTCGCTGACCCAGGGCCCCAGGGACCCAGGGTGGGGGGCAGTGGCTGGCAGCAGCTGCCTGCACAGCCTTGCCCTGTAATGAGAAAATAGACATTTTAAGTTGCTGCTTAGGCATTTTACTGTACGACAGCCCTGCTCACACCCAGGGTCTGGACGTTTAGATGAGGACCTCAACTTAGGATTCCCACCACAAATTCCTGCTTTGCTCTTCCTGGTCATTTAAAATGACCACTCAGAGTCGAGCCCATGAATAACCTAGTGACCTCAACCCTGACCACCTTATAAGTAATAGGTTCTTGCTAGCCTGCTCTCTGTCTCCTGCTTGCCAAAGAAAAGGATGGAGGATTGCCCTTTCCCTGGCTCACTGGGCCCTTTCTGGGATCTGAAAGTAAATCTTGTAACCCAACTTCCTTTGTATGAGTATATTGAAACCGTGCCTTCAATCAAAAGGGGCCCAGGGTTTTCACTTTCCCGGAGTGGGAATTCAGATCCCGAGGGAGCTACCAGGCAACCCTGTGTGGGTGGCTCATGCCTCCTCATTCAGCAGATCATAATCTACATATTCTTGACACACCAGCTCCAAGTTTTCTAACACATGCCCCATGAAAGCAGAGCCTGTCCGAGGCCTGTTCTACCTATGGATTTTGACCCCAGAATGAACCCCAAGCCAAGACAGACCCTTCAGCCCCATTCCCAGACAGAGTTCCTAGTTGATTGGGGAGTGGCAGGGTGGAGGTGGCCTTCCCCACATCAGCCCTTCCTGTGGTCCTGAGAACCAGCCCTTGGAGTGTGGACATCTCGGTTCTGTCCGGCCTGCTGCCTGGTCATAGCCAGGGTCCCCATGTCCTGCTGCTGTCCTAGTGTATAGCTATCAGATACTGCAGAGGCAGATCTTTGGATGCAAGGAGCTAATGTCATTGAGCAAAGGCCTCCCAAAGGAGACCAATCCAGGCCTTTGCCAGCTGTTTCGGGATGGGAGTGAAGATGGGAGACAAATTGTCATAGTGCTCACCTCTGCTTCATTCCCAACCCCCAGGCTCCAGATGAACCCAGGCGGCTTCTTTTACTCATGTCAGAAGAGAGGGGCCTTCAGGTCAAGGAACAAAGGAACAAAGATGCAGGAAAGAGGTCATGCCTTGGGGAGAGATGTCAGACCTCAGGGGAAGGTGGAAGGGGGCTCAGGAGCTGTGGCACTTATTGAACACTCATTGCTTGCCAGGCACTGTGCTAAGAACGCCACATGCATGAACTCACTTCATCTCCATTGCAATGATGGAGACCCTACTAATCCACCCATTTTAGAAATGGGAGAACTGAGATGCAGAGGGGTTCAGTAACTTGTTCTCCGTTGCACAGTAAAAGGTTTTAAGCCAGACAGCCTGGCTCCCTGGCTCCCTGGCTCAAGCTCTAAGCCATCATGCCAGACTGCTGAGCAGGTATGTCACTGCATCTGCCCTGCTTCCTCTCCCATCCTCCCTCCTCACCCTCCAGTCCCTGCACCTAGTGCTCTGGGAGCTGCCCTCTGGACCTGTGCGGTCTTGTTGCCCAGGGTACCCCCAGGCTTGGTGGAAGGAGGAGCCCAATCATACCCCCACACCACGTAGGACTTCACAATATACAGAGCCCCTGGCCTGCCTCAGCCTGTCGGGGGTGGGGAATTGTGTGCTATAACCACTTTGACAGGATAACAGGCCTACAAAGGTGCCCAGGGTAGGTAGAGTCTAGAGTAGAACCCTGGGGACACCCTCTATGGGAGGGCCCTAGACCCAGATGGCCGTGCCCACCTCTGCACACTGAGTCCCCTTCCTGAAGATGTCAATTGGGCACTGCCGCCTGCAGGAACCCAGTTCGATTGCTGGGTCAATGCAGTCTTCCAAATGCCCTGGAATTTCCTGCCAGAGGCTCCTGATCCATCTGTCTGACCCCAGGCCCTACCCGAGGCTCTGCGCTCAGGCCCACAGCAGTGGGGGTAGAGGCGCCCTTGTGTGTCTTCAGGAAGGACAAAGTTGTCTGGCCCCAAGGTAAGGAATCCATCACTGGGATGAGAGCCCCTTTCCTGGCAGCCCACACAACTTCCTTCTTTTGGTTTCTTCTTATTTTTTGATCTGAGAGCTGGGCCCTCAGCATCCTGACTCCGGATAGTTTCTACCTGCTGGGACTAGAGGGCCTCTGGGGAGCGCTTAGGATCACCCTTTGGATGGTGGGAAGGGGTTATGACTTTTCCTGAGTGGGGAGGCTCTTCTGATAGGCCTGCCTGGGGAACTGGGACCTGTCCAGGGACATAGCCTGGCCCATGTATAACATAACTTCCCCCACACCCCTTCTCTCCCACACTCAGGGGACCTCCACAAGGACACCAAGGATGGCTTCTGTTTCTTGCTGAGCCTTATTTTCTTCATCTGTCAAATGGAGCTCATGGTCCCAGTCTGGCCTTCTACCTAAAGTTATAAAAGTCAAATAAAATGAGTGTGGAGGATTCTTACTCTGGCCCAGCGCCTCTTCACAGAGAGGCCGTGTGTGTGTGGTGTGTGTTGCGTGCGCGCGCACATATGCATGCACATGTAACCACTGTGACTCCCCGGGTGCTGTCCATGCATCCCTAGGCAGGCCAAGGACTGAGGTTTGGGGAGGACTAATGTGCCACTGGGCAGAGCTCCGAGGCTTTAGGCTGTGGTTGTGGCAGGGCCTCAGGTCACAGGTTGCCAGATGACGCAAATATTGGGGGCATACTTATGCTAAAAATGATTCTTTGCTAATCTGGAAATCAGATTTCACTAGGTGTCCTGTGTTTTATCTGGCAACTCTACTTCGGTGCTCTGGGTGACCTGGTGGGCCCCAGGGTGTGTCTCTGTGCCGGGCTGGCCAAGCAGGAGACTGAGATGCTGTGTGCTCGTGTGGGACTGTGACAGGACACTGGTGTGATGGTATGTGGCTATGACAGTGTCACCAGGAGAAGCCAGGATGTGGGTGATTGCCAGTAAGCTCTCTGTGACTCCCTCAGGCTCCAGCTGCTTCCTCAGGGCAGGGTTTGTTTGGGCTGTTTGCTAATGAGGCCCAGCGGGGGTAGAGACCCACCCTGGGCAAACACTTAGATCCGGCTCCAGGTGGGACTAGTATGCCTATTGCCTATTGCCACCTGCTGAGAGACTACTGTAAAGGAGGTTCCCTCTTAAGGCGGAGCCAGCCCTGGGGGCCTCAGAGCGCTCTGTCCTGGGCCCTTCCAGAGGGGCCTCTGGAACCACCTCTCTACTCAGCTGCTTTCTGGTGACATCACACAAGTCACTGGCCAGTCTTCTAGAACAGTGCCCCCAGGACACTCCCTCGTTGCCCTGGGCAACCTGAGAATTTCTCCACCCAAACTGGCAGGCTGGGTTACCCCTAAGGAGGGGGTGGGGGGAGAAGGGGCCAGGGGGGCCTTCTCCTCATCTCCCAGAGGGGAGATCGGGGCAGCCATCCGTCTGTCTGACTAGATGGTGAGTAGGAGGGAGCACCCATGAACAAGTCAAGACTGGGGGGTCCCTCATTGTCCAGGAAACTGGGGAGGGTGGAGGGCCTAGGCAGAGGTTGAATTTTAAAACAGAGAGAATGGTGACTGTTGCCAATATCACCCCCAGGGGAATGACAGGGGTGGCATATAATGGGGAGTAGGGATGAAGCCTTGGGTTAAGAGAAGGGAGACCTAGGTTCTTATCTCTGCTTTGTCCCTGCTAGCTGGGCCTTTGTTTCCCTGTCTGTACAGTGAGGGGCTGCGGACAGATGACATTAGTCTGAGGATCTTTATTTCTGATGGGGACACAGGGAATTTGAGGGGAGTTTTAGGGACCAGGTCATGGTCACTGACCCCTGTTCCAATTACTGTCAGAGGGTGGTGAGCAAAGTCCAGTGTGAATCTCCGAATAACCCACTGCTCCCATTCCAGGAATCATAGTCCTGAGGTCCTAGAGGTCCCCATAGGAGTTCTGACTTCTTTGTGACTCAGGGGTGTCCCTGTGCCTCTCAGGGCCTCAGCTGCTCTCTCTGGGAGGGGCATGTGTAAACCCCAGCACTTGCCCAGTGCCTGAGCTAATGATTCCTCATGTTCCCATGACACCCCTCAGTTTGCTAAGCACCTTCTCCTCATACAAGCTCCTGCCTTCTACACCCACTCTGACTCCTGCTCAGTGATACCCCATCCTGGGTCTTGGGATCCAGACAAGAGACAGACCTGGGCTGTGCCTTGGGGGCCCAAAGAAATACCTCAATCCACTTCTGGTGGAGAGGGCCCTAGGGCTGGGGCAGGGGGCTGCAAGTGGCAGAGCAGGAGTATGCCTTGCCAACCTTTACTACTGTTTAATCTTTCATGAGAATCTTAACCACCATCATATCAAGTATGTTAACACTTTTTTGTTGGAAACATGCCATTTTTGGACAGTATATCTCTCTACCTCCCCTCCCAGTTGCATTTTGGGTTATTTGGGGGTGAAACTGCTACATGTACAACTCTTTTCATTGCAATAATTCTCAGAGAGTAGGTATTTTTCTTTCAGATGAAGAAACAGAATTAGAGGACCTGTCACCTGCCCCTGGTCACACAGTTAGGAAATAATGTAGCTTGGATTGGACCCCAGGTCCACAGGCCCTTCACACTGCCAGGCTATGGGAAGCTGGCGTGGCCAAGTTCTAGAACTCCTCTCCAGACTCCTCCCCTAGGTAACCTCTCCCAGCCCTCTTGGGCTCACTGTTCTGCCCTTAGGCAGAAAGGGCCGTCCTCTCTGGCTAAGGGGTATTTGCCAGTCATGGTTGGGAGGCTGTCATAAACCCCTGAGCCAAAGATGCCTGAATTTGGGGGGGCATAAGGGAGGACTTGCAAGGGCAAATGATGAGTGATCCTGCCCATCCACTGACTAGTTAGCCAGGCCCAGCCATCCAAGTAGGGGTAGTAGGCCACTTTCTTCTTCTGACTCAAGACCCAAAAGATTCATTCTTAGTTAATCTACTTGGTTTCTGCCATCTGTACCTCCCTGAGTTTATGTCTCTCTGACTGGCAGCTGCCCGTTTGCCCTTGCTGCTGCCACCCCTGGACTGGGGGATGGGTATGAAAGGTTTACTGCCCTGTTAGTGCCTGCTGTCTGCTGAGATGTTATTGGGGCCCTAGGAAGGCAGGATCCACCAGGCTGGTGTTCCCATCTCTTTTCTTTATGATAGATCCCGGAGGTTACAGTTCACAAAGGCGGCTCTGTGGACTCTTCTTTGTGTCTCCCACCAGCCTGGGTGTGAGGCTGTCAGATAAAACCACTGGGGCTGGGGGAGGGGCAGTGACCTGCGTAGAGCTGGGGTGTATACAGAGGAGTTACATAGCAGAGAACCATAGCCCTGGCCTTCTGAGCTCACAGCCAGCTCCCCTGCCACTCAGTCCCACACATTTAAAGAATTTGGATTAGAAGGGGTGGGAGTAATTATCTGACTATGCTACCCACATACTGGGGATCTAAGGTGATCACACCTCATGGGGACCTGCAACTCAGTTTACAGGATTTACTTTGCAGAATATCCCTTGAGGTCACCTGCCATCATGGCTCCATGCTCAGCCCCATTTGCTTGTAAAATTGGGCCTGATTCACAAAGTGCTTGGAGCGATAACCACTATAGGAAGAAACACTTCTATCTGTGAACCCACTATGACAACTCCTCATCTTTCTCCAGCACCTTTAAGGAAAGCGATTCCATCCCAGAGCTCTAGGATGGTGAGCCTAGGAGGTTATACATTCTGATTCCTTCATTCTACAGATGGGAGGCTAAGGCCCAGAGAGGATGGAGCAGAGCAGAGAAAGGAACCCTGGGGTGGGAGGAGGCTGAGACCTGGGTACTGTATAGGATGGCCATGTACTCACTGTGTGACACTGGGCAAGTTAGCTGCCTATCTATGTGAGCTCCATGGGCCCCCCTGCCCCTCTGTGGTCAAGGGCCACTTGCTGGTGTGAGTGAATGCTCAGCCTTGGGCCATCTGCCACACTCATTCTGGCCCGGCTTCAGAGAAGTTGAACCATTGACCTCAGTTCTCTAAAAGTAGCTTCAGGCAGAGCTGGCACTAGGACCCAGGGGCCAGATGTCAGCCTCCCAGGCTGGAGGGGGTGGCTAGAGTGCAGGTGGAGGTATCTCCTTCCACCCCCCACCCCCCCACCCCCGCACCGCGGCTTTGGAGCTCTGGCCAGCTCTGCCAGCGGAGGGACAGAGGCTCTTGAAAACCTAGTCTAGTCCATGGGAGGTGTGTGGACAGGTGCTTGGGTGCTCAGGACAGGTGGTGGCAGACAATGGTCAGTGTCCTGGGCTGGAGGGGGTCCTGGTTAAAGCTCCCAGCCTCGAGTGACTGGACAGATGTTGCCCAAGTCTAGTCAGTCTGTGAACCTTGAGGCTAGTGGGTTCTATCAACTTCCGCCCGGTTTGCGAACCTCACTGGGAACTGGGTTAGAAGTGTGTAGGCTTGACGAGCCTCGTGGTTGGTGGGGGATGCAAGCTTCGGCATCTCTGAGTTGCTTTTGATTGTGGCGGGGGTGTGTACCCCTGTTTGGGTCTCTGGAGTGCCGTGCGGGGGTGTCTCTGGGATGTCTAGGGAAAGCGTGCCCGTGTGTAAGTAGGTTGTTGCAGGGGTGTAGAGCTGTGAGTATGGGAGGGGGGATGGAGAGAAGGGGCTCACAATTAACTTCCAGAATCCCTCCTCAAACACCTCAGGGCCCCTCCTCCCAAAGTCCACCCTCACTTGACCCCTTTCGGCCCCGACCCAACCGCGGGTTGAGGACTAGCGCTCCCGGGGCGGGCGGGGGCGGGCGCTAGGACCCTGCGGGGCGGGGCGGGGCGGGGCTCTGAGCTCCGTCAGCGGTACCTCCGCAGCCTGGAAAATACCAAGCCCCGGGGAGCGGAGCCCCCGAGCCCCCAACCTAGCCCGGAGGGAGGGAGAAGGGAGGGGGGAGAAGGGAGGGGGCGCGCGGGGCGGGGGGGCCCGGGGCGGGGCCCGGCGGCGGGACCCACTGCTCCTCCCCCCGGAGCCCCCGCGCGGCCCCGGTCGCCTGGGCAGCGGCGGCAGCGGCGGCGGCGGAGGCGCTCGCACCCCCGGCCCCGGCGGGCCCCGGCGCAGCTGCGGGCACAGGTGAGCGTCCGGCGGGGCGCCCCCCCGCCCCCCGCCCCCCGCCGCCCGCCGCCCCGCGCGCACCCCGCGCTGGCGCCGCTGCCGAGTTAGTTGAGCCGCTCGCGCCGGCCCGCGGGTCGCCTGGGGTCCTGGTCTCCGCTGGGTCCCCGAGAGCCCTCGCGGAACCCCGCTGCGGCCCCAGGGGGGTCCGGGGTCGCTCCCGGGGGTGCCCCGCCGCTGCCCTGTGCTAGTGCGCGCTCGCCAGGGGGCCCGTCTCTGCCCGTCTGGAACTCTCCATCCGCGCAGGACCCCGGACCGCCCCACCCGCGCCCCCAGCGCACTGACTCTCGTCCTCAAACCGGTCCTGCAGGTCCCAGGAAGGTGGCGTCAGCATCTGCAGCCGCGTCGACGTTGCCGGAGCCTCCGCGGAGGACCCAGGAGAGCCGGACCAGGACCAGGGCCCTGGGCCTCCCCATGGAGAAGTCCGCTGCCTCAACAGAGCCCCAGGGGCCTCGGCCAGTGCTGGGCCGCGACAGTGTCCAGGTGCCCGACGATCAGGACTTCCGCAGCTTCCGGTCAGAGTGTGAGGCCGAGGAGGGCTGGAATCTGACCTACAGCAAGGCCGGCGTGTCTGTGTGGGTGCAGGCTGTGGAGATGGATCGGACCCTGCACAAGATCAAGGTAGGGTTGCCCCGACCCACGTGCAGCCTCCACTGTGCCCTTCCTGCTTCGGACAGGGAGTCTCCTGCTCCTCGCTGGGGCCACAGACACCTCGTTGTGCCCCTGGACTCAGAAGGAGTCTCCTGCCAGGGACCAGGAGGAGGCACGGTTTGCAGGGCAAAGGCTCATCACGCAGATGGGCCAACTGAGGCCTGGAGAGGGGCGTGTGCCTCACTCTGGCTCCCTCAGCCCAGGCTTCTTCCCGGGAGGTGGGCTGCTGCCAGGCTTGTCTAGGAGAGCTGGCTCTTTCTGGGACGCTCTGCCCCTGCAAGTCTTCACCAGTCCCTGACTGCTGTTATCCCAGACAGGGAAACTGAGCCCTTCTTTCCCTAATTCCTGGTTCTGTCCCTACACTCTGCAGCCCTGGGTGCCAGGGGCCTGATTCCTTCCTGCCTGATGCCCTGCTCTTCCTTCTTCCTTCCCTGGCTACTCCCAGAGTCTCCTGCAGGGACTTAGGACTGTGGTTGGCAGAGCCTTTAAGTCAGGGCTTGGATGTCTCTTCTTTATACAGGGCCAGGCTTGGGGAGGAGGGGGTCAAGGGAGGCCAGCAGGTGCAGGGCAGAGGCAGGTACATCTCCCTCAGGACCTACAACCCTACTCCTCACAGCCCTGTGATTGTCCTCTTTGCCCATACAGGATGGGCTTAAGGTATGGGTCCCCAGGAGCCCACCTCGCCTGGGGGACTAGATGGGGCAGAGGCTGGTGAGGACTCTGGTCTAGAGACCTCAATAGCTGCCCCCAACACATCTGGCATTGCTATGAGTGCCACATTTCAAGGGGAGCAGGTCTCCCTTCGATGGGCTCCTGGCAATGGGTTGTGCCCTTCACCTCCCTTGCCTTTCCCTTGCTGTCTTTTTGCTGCCCTCCTCCTCCACATGGAGAAGTGTATTTCTGTTGGGGAGGGGCGGGGGAGGGCACTGGACTCAGAGGGCGCCTCTGCCCAGGACCCGCTCTCAGACTTAGCTCCGGCATCTTGACTTCACACCAGGGCTGGAGATGTCTGACTTTCCCTCTCTGACCCCATGTCTTTCTGCTGCACTATATCCTCGTCATTTACAGTTTTGTCCGTCTGTCCCATATGGCCTTCTGGCTCACACTTTCTGCCTTCCTTTCTCCCCTGCTGTGAGTCTCTATCTGCATCCCAGCTGTCTATCTCTTTTTCTCTGGCTTTCCATGTGTGTCTCCCCGTCTGGGACTCTGTCCAGGCTTGAGGGCCCAGGGCTACAGGCTTCCTTGGTCCTGGCCTATGTCTGAGGCTGAGGAGCAGGGAAGCAGAGGGCAGCTAGTGGGTCCCAGCTTGGTGCTCTCTGAGGGCAGAGATAGATCCTACCCCTCTTTGCATCCCTAGCATCCAACACAGATATAGCAGGGATGTTGACTGAATGAAGGATAGAAAGAAGGAAGGGACAAACTGAAAGGCAAGCAAGGTTGTTGCAAGAACAAGGTTATTTTCCAGACTGTAACCTGGGAAAGGTGTAAGGTTGTCCAGAAGCAGAAAGTCTGAGCTAAGTCCAGTATACTCCCACCCTCTGTGTCAATAGGGCGGAGCTGCCTCCTCCATCTGGCTTGGTTAATGAATAAACCCAGCCCAGTCTGGGACCAGAGCTGGTGGGTCTTGGGGCCAGACCGCCACAGTTCTGACCCCCTTGTGGTCAGCTCAGACCTCTCAAATGGCCTTTAGGAGAGGAGGGGACTTGGGAAAACTGGATGTTGTGGTCCCTAGCCAGGACCTGGATCCTCCTTCCCTCTCAGACTGAGCAGAGTTTGGAGGTGCCAAAAGGCCCTTTGCAATCCCTGTTTCATACTCCCTCTTAACTGGGGTGCAGGTGAGGACACTGAGACCCAGAGAAGGACAGGGGCCAGCCCAGAGCCACATAGCCAAATCTTAGAAGAGCCAACTTGGAACCCAGATTTCTAGTCTTCCTAGCCTGTCTCTGTTCTGCTCCCCACAATGGAGGTAGAGTTGGGGACAGGAGGTGAGAAGAGCTGGGGCCTAGGATGGAGGCTGGGGCCTTTGCTATGGGCATCCTAACGGGCCAGCCGCCCACTCCTGATTCCCTCAGCACAGCCCAGTGGGGCTCTGAGAAATGAGCAGAGGTCTCTGGGCACTTTAGCCTTAGGTTCCAGGATTCCCAGGTTCCATGCAGTGAATCTCTTTTCTGGTAGGAGCCCCTACCCTGAGCCAAGCAGAGGCTGTGTCTCTCTCCACCTGCAAGTTTACCCTCTGACTAATCCTGGGCAGCAGTAGACTTGTCTTCATGCTACAAAGAAACTGAGGCCAAGAGTCACTTGTGTCAGATCACAGAGCAGTGGAGGCAGAAGTAGGACCCAGGCCAGCCTGGCTCCAGAGCACCTGCCCCACTCTGCTTGGGCTCACAGTTAGTCAAGATCATAGCATTTGACCCCATCAATGACTCTTTGAAGTACGTAGTGTTCTCATAGTTCCATTCCTGTTTGATAAATGAAAAAGCTGAGGTCCAGAAAGGGGAAATGGCTTGCCAAGGTCACAGCAGTTCTGAAGCCAGAGTCCCCAGGGATGATTGGGTCACTCCAGGCGGCCGGGACCCAACCACAGGTGTTTGTTGATCTTTTGCCCCCTTACCCCATCGTGCCCCAACCTGTCGTGGGCCTGCCCCCTGAGCTGGGAAAGTAGCCTGCCCCCAGGGCATGCCTTGTTCTCGTGATCCCAGGGTGAGGGTGGGGGCGGGGTTCCGCCTGTCTATCTGATTGGTTTCCTCCTCATCTCCCTTCCCCTAGATTTATCTTCTCCCTTTGCCTGTGTTGAGTGGCCCCTGCAAGCCTCTGGAACTCTCAGCTGGGCATTTGGAGCCAAGACAAAGGGAAGGGGCTGCTGGAGGCCACCTCTGCCCTTTTCCTCCCAACTGGCCTCCAGCCTGGCCTGGCCTCTGGTCTGCATTGTGCCTTGGGCCCTGGAGAGGAGGCTGACACCATGTCCTGAGAGGGCAGGCCTTGTCTCAGAGGCACATGCTGAACACAGATCTTGGGTCCAAGGTAGAAAGCAAACCTAGGTTTGTCAATGCCCAGGCCAGTATCTGGGTATATGAGAAATGCAAAAAGGGGGGGGGGGTGGTCAATGCAAAATTAATCAGGGCCAGCTCGGGCCCAGTCCTGGTGGTATCCTCTTCTGTGTATGACCTGCCCTTCTCTGGGCTGTGTCTCTGTCTGTGTCATGGGCTCTAGGAGCCTCTGAGCTTAACACCTGTGTTGGGGCCCATGGGAGAGAAATGAGGAATGAAGGGACAGAAAGCAGGACGTGACATGGCCTGCCAAGCCCTTCCCTGGATCCTCATGTGCTCAGGCTCTCTGATGTTGCAGCCTGCCGAGCATAGTGCTTGGCTAGCCATGTGAGAGCCAGAGGAGACCTGGCCCTGTCCTCAGAAGTTTCCAGACCCTGGTGAAGAGAGAAATGACCCTGGTGAAGAGAGGAATGACAATTCCAGGTGACCCCTGCCTACTACACGGGGCAGATGTTCATAGGCAGACCACAGAAGCAGGGGCGGGGCCTTGAGGGGCTTGGTGGCTAGAGCAGGGGTGGGAGGTCTCTTGGGGGAGTGTGGCTGAGAACCTGAGGTTCCTCTTGCTACAGGAAGCTGGGCTGTGGGGACCTGTCTTCTCTGACTTCCTGTCTTACTGCTCCTCCCCTTCTGCTCTGGAGAAAGATCCACGGCCCCTCCCTTCCCTATCTCACTGTCCCCTTGCTCCCACATCACAAGACACCCCCACCCCCACCCCAGGTCCGTTCCCTCTAAGTACCTCATTAGCTCCCCATATAAAATGTGGGATTATCTTATGGATCCCTAAGGTCCCTTCTCATTCTTAACAGTCTTAACACTCTTAACAGACTCAAGAGGGTCTTGGAGAATATGGGGGCAGGCGCAGATGTTTTCTTTCTGGCTTCCCATTGAGTCTTCACAGCTGTGTTGTGGTGTGGGTCTTATTAACACCATTGAACAGATGTGGAAACTGAGGCTTAGAGCAGGAACTCACTTGTGCAAGGGAAAAACAGAGGTGGCTAAGGTGCAGGATCAGAATTCAGATGTTTGGGTCTCCAAAGCTGAGCTCTCTCTGCTCTCTTGGGCTTGCTTACAAGCACCATTGGGCCCTTTTGTCTTCAGGACCCCATGGCTCCCAACATACCCAGCTCTCCTGCCTCAATCTCCCTATGCAGTGTCATTGTGGGAGGGCACCTAACTAAGCAAGAGCCCAGGTCCTCAGCGTGACCTTAGAGGTCACTTCAACTTTCTGAGACAGTCTTATCTGTGGTGGCAAGAATGTGGGTTAATCTGGTTTTAGGGTTTTAGACTCAGTGAGTTCAGGTTCAGGCTGGTACTCTGCCCATCTGGGGCTCAGTTTCCCCATCTCTACAGGAAACTGCTGGGCAGGTGGTTTGTAGAGGCCATTTGGGCCTTAGACCATGATTAGAGGGGTCTATACTGCTGGACATAGAGTAAGAAAGCGAAGGCCTGGCTACTCTGTGCCCTCAGAGAGCTCTCTAGATGGGGCACTTGAATTCAGGGTTTGGACCTGAGGACCTGTCCTGGCTGGCTCTAGCTCTGACTTGGCATGGGGGCCACTGGAGGAAGGAACTCCAGAGCTGTCCTCAGCAAACAGGCTCCCGGAGAGCATGACTCCAGAGCCAGGGTCAGGATCTTCAGGTGGGGGAAGCTCAGAGAAGGGCAAGGTCAGAGGTGATTGGAAACTTCAGGGGAGTCTTAACTGGAGGAGGTG